ACGCAGCACTTCTACGTGCCCTCCCGAGGAGCCATGGGCAGAGGCAGCCGTCAAAAGACCGGTCCGAATTTTATTAAAAGTTCAGCACCAGTACATTTAAAATACAAAACGAACAAACAAAAAAAGCGAGAAGACGGGAAGTATTAAATTAACGGAGCTTAAAGCTATGGAGGGCTGGTGTGGAGAGAGTTGAAGGCACGTGTGGGGCAGAGGCGGTGACGGATGCTCCGGCAGAGGGATGCCGTGCCTGGGAGCACCGCTCAGCACCGAGCCGTGGGCTCCGGGGGGGAGAGGGGTCTCTGGACCTGCCGGTGGGGGTGGGCTGCTGCCAGCACAAGAGCAGGAGCCCCGACTGAGCTCTGAGGATGTGCAGAACCACCACCGTGCCCAGAACCCACAAGGCAACACAGCAGTTTGGTGCCGGCCCCCCTGGTCTGTGGCGCCTGGGGAGGAGTTAAGGGGTGCAGCAAATCCCGGTGCTGCTACCGGGCACCGCTGCCAGGGCTCCAGGGGCATCGGGGCCGGGGGGCTCAGGGGGCACCAGACAGGTGGTGTCACTGTGTTGTGGCTGCTCCTCTGATAGGAATTAGGGCAGCGACGTCCCAGTGGAAGGGGCAGTCCTGCTGGGAGAACTGGGCAGGATCGACCCTTCTCGGTGAACCTGTGTTCCCGTGCAGCATGGAGCAAGAGCCTGGAGTCCCCAGGATGGCATCACAGCCATTCTGCTCTGTCAGGGCCAGGATCCCCCTCTCCTGGCGCATCAGAGGTTCTCTGCAAACACAGGGGATGGTGGCACCACGAGGCAGCAGCCCCCCCCCCAACTTCACATCACAGCACCCAGCCCCAGCGTCAGGAACCTTCATCGGCTTTGTCCCCCTTGGTGTTGGGCTCCTGCCACCACTCTGCAAAGAAGCCCTCCTCGTAGTCCCCTTCGCCCTCAAACTCGCCGTCTGAGGGCAGATCCTGCAGGTCCGGCTCCTCACCATCATCCACCTCCATCTGCAGCACAGGGTGGGAGGAGGAAGCAGTGCAGTGACCACAGTGGTTCTTCCTGCGGGGCTGCTCAGGGATGGACCCCCACACCACACCCACGAGGAGGGGTCCTGCTTTGGGGTACCCACAGCCCCCAACCGCAAGGAACCCCGAAAAGCAGCCGCCGAAAGCGGTCATCACCCACCTCATCGTCAGCCTGCAGGAACTGCCTGGCAAACTCCAGCATCTTCTTCTGTGCAGCCGTCCTGTTGTAGTAGTGCACGGCTTCCTGGGAACGGGGGGGTGGGGAGCACATCAGCCCCACATCAACTGAGCCCCAGGGCAGGGGCTGGGGGGGCTCTCACCGGCCGGGGCTCAAAGTCCTCCTCCTGCAGGTGCCAGCGCTCGCGGTGGAAGCGATAATAAACCAAGTTCTGCTGCATCACCGCATCATCCGGGTCGAAGAGCATGTAGCTGGAGACGCTGCGCACCGCGTCCCTCACATCATTCACTGCAGGGAGCAGAGTGTGACACGGAGGTGACACCCTGCCCTGGGACACCCCAGGGGCTCAGCCCCCAACTCCCAGCCCACACTCACACTTGTAGTAGGCGAACTGCAGGTAGTGGTACATGGTGGCCACAAACTTCTCCACAAAGTAGCCGCCTACGTTGGGGGTCAGCTCGCTCTCGCAGCCCACCTTGCAGCGCAGAACGCTCACAAAGTGGTCTGGGGACAAGATAATGTCAGGCATTGCCCCACATTGCCACCTCGCCCCCCCCCCCCCCCCGCCCTCTGCCCACCCACCTGCGATGGCCGGGTAGAAGTCCTTGAACTCCTGCAGCTCATAGGCGCCCTCACAGCCAGCCAGGCAGTCCTCGTACGCCTTGTAGTACTCAGCCAGCGCCTGCTCCATGTCAGCCGCGCTGCTCCGGAAATCCCCGTTGTTGTAGAGCTTCACCGAGCGCACAAAGATCGGCTGTGGAGGCCAAGAGGGCTCTGCTCACCTCCCGCCTGGGTTCCAGGCCCCGTGCCCAGCCCCACAGCAGATGGCTCAGCTCTCAGAGCTGCCCTGTGCTCGCCGAACACAGCTCCATCCCTGGCACTGGCCCCAGAGATGCTTTTTGGGGCAGGAAGGGGCTCTGCTGGAAGGGCTTTTGGGATTTGGGATGGGCTCTGCTGGGCACGCACTGGCCCTTGTGGGATGCTCCTCTTCCTTCTCTTCTCCCGCCCAAGCCCATCCCCTCCTTACCTCATAGGGCTGAGCCTCCAGGTCCACGAGGTATTCGTCCACGTCCACCATCGTCCTGTAGTAGTTCAGGTACTTCAGGGTCATCTCGTGCTTGGGGTTCTTCTGCAGGAAGGTGTGAGCAGCCGACACCGCCTTCTCGATCTTATTGGACTGCGGAGAGAGGGGGGCGGTGCGTGGGGCCGCAGGGGCGACGCTGGGATGCGTCCCAGGGCAGCAGGCGATCCTCGGGACAGGCAGCCCCAACGCCCATCACTCATTGGCAGCGAAGGATGGGCAGCGTGCGGGCAGGGGGGGACGTCCTGCTGATGGAGCGGTGTGCGCTGAGGCACACAAAGCTCTCCCCGAGCCCACGGTGGCAGCACGGACAGCGCAGCCCCTCTGGCAGTGACCCACGTGGCATGGGTTTGTCAGACTCTCCTCCAGCCCCACTGCCAGCTCGGCAGTTGCCCCCACTCTGCTGCTGCTTCTATGAGCTCTCAGGTTGCAACTTCCGAGAAGCAAAGCTGGAGGGGCTGGATGAACCATCCCTTACATGGATTTTAGCCAGAGCAACCGAGAGGAAAATGCATTAAGTATCCAGGTCAGGCCATTCCTCGTTGCCGCAGGGTGAATGGGGCCACAGCACCAAGGAGCAAAGCAGCAGTGGTGCTGCACCCACCCACCCATGCCACGCTCCACCGGCTGGGACAGCCCTGTGTCCCCCTCCTCGGGCAACGTTGCACACACCCAGGGGGCCTTGGGGACAGCAGTATTGAAGCAGAGGCAGAATGTAGGCACAGAAAGCTGGAGAAATTCCATCTGTCCCTGGAAAACTTCTCCATGTGGACCAGGGGCACCCACAGAGCTGTGCTGGGGGATGTCTGTGACCACAGAGGGTCAGGGGACACGGGGAGACTCAGGGAACCCCCAGCAGGGGTTGTGGGAGGGGGGAGACCAGGGCACATGGGGCTGGAGAGGGCAGCCACTGGGGCCCCATCCCGGGCACGCTCCTCACATCCTGCTGCTGCTGACGTGCAGCGGTGCCGGGGCAGGATGGAGGAGATGGGGGGGAAGGGGGTGCAAGATGGGGGGAGCAGGAGGGGAGAACACATGGCAGAGAGATGTGGGAGGGATGGGAGAAGGATCTGGGGATGCAGAATGGAGGTGAGGAATGGAGATGTGGGATGGGGGGACACGGTATGGGGGTGGCAATGGGGAGATACAGGGTGGGGGGCACAGGGTGAGGGGGGCAAATGGAGGAGTGTAGAGCAGAGGAAGTCGGACAGGGGTACAGAAGATGTGGGGTGCACGATGGGGGACTCCCACACCCCCAGGTCATGGCAGCCCCTCACTCCCCATCCCCGTCACTCCCGGCGTTGCGCGGTCTCACCTTGAATAGCGCGTAGTGCAGGTACTGGTAGGGCAGCCGGCGCTGGAAATCGCGCAGCGTCTGCGCGGGCGGGTAGCGCAGCTGGAAGACGGGCAGGCCGCGCTTACAGGCACGCAGGCAGCCCGCGCGGCGCAGCAGCCGCCCGAAGAGCTGCAGCTCCCGCTCCCACTCCCACTCCGCGCGGTCCCCTTCGGCGGGGGGCTCTTCCGCGGATCCCCCCTCGGCGCAGCGGCGGTGGCAGTGCGCCTCGCTGTCTCGCAGCAGGCGGTGCAGCCGCAGACTGGCCTCCAGAGCCCGCGCGCTCTCCGCCCACTGCGCGCTCGCGTACTGCGCCAGCGCTCGTGTGTAGGCGCGCTGCAGCGGCTCCAGAGCGGCCGCGGGGAATCCGCGCACGCTGTATTGCTCGTACTGCGCCGCGCACGGCCCCGCCGCCAACAGCAGAAGCGGCAGCGCCAGCGCCGCGCAGCCCATCCCCGCCGCCGCCGCGCACTGCCCGCGCAGCGCCGCGCAGCGCTCCGCGCAGGAGGCGAGCGGGGGCGGAGGGGGGAGGAAGGGGCGGTGCGCGTCGGGAGCGCAGGGTCTTAGTGCGGCTCTGTGCGTTGCGCGCAGGGCGGAGTTGGCACTGAGTGATGCTGACCGGCCCGGATGCGCTCGGAGTTTCGGTGTCGGAGGATCCCTCGAGTGCGCTGCGCTGCGCGCTCGGCGCTGCGCTGCTTCTTTCCCCCGCCCCCTCCGCCCGGCAGCGTTCAGCGCTGGTTTCGCCGCTGGCCGTGGTCAGCCGGAGGCGGATCCTTGCGCTGTGCCAGAGCCCAGAGCGCAGCGCCCAGAGCGCAGAGCCGAGGGCTGCGGCTGAACTCGCAGAGCCAGGCACGGCCGCGCTGGCCACGGCCCAACCCACGTCCGTGCGGGCGGAACGGGCTGAGGGCTCCCCCCGCGGCCCCGAATGGTGTGAGGGGGTGAGGGGCAACGCGTAGGTGCGCGCTGTGTGCTGCTCCGATCCGTGACGGTCTGTTACAGGGGCGGTTGCAGGGGTTTTGATCACTGCCGTTCAGTAACAGCAGCGGACCGAGGAGCGGCCAGGGTTATCCGTACGGGCGTTAATTACGTTAATTACTCGTATTTACTCTTCCCAAACGCCAGAGCCTGAGCAAACCGGGTCGCAGGCAGCGCTAGGACCCGGCGCTGCACAAAGCCGCTCCCTTCGCACAAAGAACCGCCCGCAAAAAAGAGAACGGTTTTTTTAAAAGTTGCATCGCGGAGTTCCGCTGCGCCGCGGCTCTCCGCCCGGCCCATCGCAGGGAATCACCGCCCCGGGCCTGGGGCGGGGGCTGGGGGGGCCGGGCCCGTTCCACGTGTACAGAAGCGCGGCGGGGCCGGGCCGGGGGGGCTCAGCTCCCGCCTCCCCCCACCGCCGCTCCGAGCCATGGCCGCGGGCAGCGCCGCGCTCCTGCTGAGCCTCCTGGGGGCATTGGGGCTGAGCGACCCCGGCCCGCTGGAGGACGTGGTGATAGAGCGCTACTACATCCCCAAGGTCTGCCTGCGGGAGGCCCAGATGGGGGACTTCATCCGCTACCACTACAATGGGACCTTTAAAGATGGCAAAAAGTTTGACTCCAGGTACAGCCCTCGGCCCGCTCCCGCTTCACGCGGCCCCGCGGGGTTTTCCCCCGCCCCCCCGCCCCCTTGGTCCCCCTCCCCCTCCCCCCCCATGGTCACCCCGCCCGCCCCGCACGGCCCCGACTGACGGCGGTGCCCCCCGTCCCCCCTCCCCGTGCTGAGCTGTGCGCGGCCTCGCAGCGATCCGGGGGGAACCGATCCGGGGGGAGCAGTGGGCGGGGGGGCCGCAGAGCCGCGCTGCGCTCAGGACGTGTCCGTGCGTGCGCTGCGGGAGGAATGCGGGCAGCGGCGCTGAGACGTGGCAGCAGCAGCCGCTCCGAGGCGGTTCTCGGCCGCGCGCTGCGCCCCGGGGGTCTGTGGGGCAGCGCACCATGGGCACAGATGTGAGCGGGATGGGGGCAGCAGTGGGGGCTCGACAAAACACGGGAACAAAAACTTCCAGCCCCTGAAAAGCAATGGGATCCCTATGGCTGTCCAGTGGTACTTTTCTCACAAAAAAACGGATGGGAGAGAAAGTGAAGGGAGCACGCGCTGCCCCTGCTGCTGCTGTGAGCCCCAAAGCGATGGGAGCTGCTAAAATATTGCTGCTGAAATAACTCTTTGTCCCGAGGACGGCAGCACGCTTCCAGGAGAAGCATTCACTGCACATTACAGGGGATGAAGGATTTCCATTTACCCAAAATGGCCCCCAGTTGCTTCTTAGAGCCTGTAGTTTAAAGATTTAAAAATAAAGAGAAATGTGCAGTCCACAAATGAGGCCTGGACTGCCTTCTTTCCTCCTCCCTGCGTTTAGAATTGCCAGGAGGCAGCAGGAAGCCCTGTGTGCTGCACTGCTGTGCCAGGCGTGGGGAGCATCTGCAAGCAGCTCCCGGCCCTCCGCCCCTGGTTGCCCGCACTCAGGGTGTCTCCCCCCAGGCAGTGAAGCTTCAGCCCCGCACTGAGCGCTGCAGGGCTGAGCGGGGGGCTGTGCCTGTGCCAGGAGCCCCAGTCCAGACAAAACCTCAAAGCAGGGCTGGAGGACGCCTCACTGCTTGTGAGCTGCAGCTCTGCAAGAGAGCAGAACAGGGGAGAGGCGGCTGCCCCGTGGCCGTGCAACCCCCAAGCAGCTTTGCTGTGCTTTTCTGTTGAACAAAGCTTACTTGCAAGGCTGGAAACTCCGCATAGAAGCTCAGGGGGAGATGGGTGCTGCTCAGGAACCGGGGGTACCCTGCAGCCCCCCTGTGCTACGCGGTGCTGACGGCTCTGTCCTTTCACAGCTATGATCGAGGGGCCACAGTGGCCGGTGTGGTGGGCGTGGGGCGGCTGATCACCGGCATGGACCGCGGGCTGCAGGGCATGTGCGTCAACGAGCGGCGGCACCTCATTGTGCCACCCCACCTGGGCTATGGCAGCATCGGCGTGGGTAAGGGCTGCGGGGCTGGGGGTCCTCAAAGCACGCGGTGGGGGGGACAGGTGATGGGTGCCCAGACAGGAGAGCTGGGGACGGATGGATCTGTGCTGGGACACTGAACAGCAAACACAGGTGGGGTCTGCACAGGGCTTTGCAGACACACTGCACATACTGTGTCACTTTCCATGGTGGGCACGGAGGGCTCACATCTGATTCCTCTGCAAAGAAAATCTTACGGGGTGTTCGGGGCCCCCCAAATCCCAGCAGTCCCTTCCACAGACACCACAGGCAGGGCTTGGCCTCAGACCTGCACAGATCAGGTCCCCATCCAGCACTCCAGGCAGAAGCTGTGGGATGGGCTGTAGTGAGCAAGGACCCTCCCTGCCCCATCCAGTGGTGCCGCATGCACTGCAGAGCTCTGTGTTCTTAGCACTGGTCGCTCCTCTCCCTGTTCTGCGCTCTGTCCTCATTGCTGCTGCTGTAGCGGGGCTGATCCCCCCTGACGCCACGTTGTACTTCGACGTGGTGATGCTGGACATCTGGAACAAGGATGACAAACTGCAGATCACCACCCTGGCCAAACCTGAGCGCTGCAACCGCACGGTGGAGAACTCAGACTTTGTGCGGTATCACTACAACGGCACTCTGCTGGATGGAACCCCCTTCGACTCCAGGTATGGGGACAGGGCTCACCACAGCGGGTGATGGGCAGGGGGGACCTGGGGGTGGCTTTGGGAGCCCACTGCCGGGCTGGGGGGGCTGGCACAGCCCCAGAGCCATTCTCCTCATTCCTCCACATCAGCTACAGCAAAGACAGCACCTACGATACGTATGTGGGCACTGGCTGGCTGATCAAGGGCATGGACCAGGGCCTGCTGGGCATGTGTGCCGGGGAGAAGAGGAGCATCATCATCCCACCATTCCTGGCCTACGGGGAGAAGGGCTACGGTGAGTCGGGCATCGCCCACTGCCCCTGCCTGGGTAGCGGGACCCCCGTGTGGGCTGACCCATCCCCTCCACAGGGACCGTGATCCCACCACAGGCCTCGCTGGTATTCAGCGTGCTGCTGGTGGACTTCCACAACCCCAAGGACGGCGTGTCCCTGGAGCACCTGGAGGTGCCGGCGTCCTGCAGGCGCAGGGCTGTGACCGGAGACTTCGTGCGCTACCACTACAATGGCACGCTGATGGACGGGACGCTCTTTGACTCCAGGTGTGGGGGGGATGCTCACATTTGCCCCATGGTCAGCAGCGGGCTGCAAGGAGAGGTTGGGGTATCCAGGGGGAACTGGGAGCGGAGGGCAGTGAGAAGTAAGAAATGGGCCAAAAAGGATTTTACCTACCTGCTGCATCCCTGGAGGAGGTTTGGTGCAGTGGGGGATGAGTGCACGGAACAGTTCTGTTACCTGACAGCACCCTGCGCTTCTCTTGCTGCAGCTACTCCCGCAACCAAACCTACAACACCTACATTGGGAAGGGCTACATCATCCCCGGCATGGACCAGGGCCTGCAGGGCGTCTGCATCGGCGAGCGCAGGCGGGTGGTGGTCCCCCCACACCTGGCCTATGGCGAGAACGGAGTGGGTAAGGGGCTGCAGGGGATCTGCGTGGCCAGGGGGAGTGCAGGGTGGGGAGGCGTTGGTTGGGAGCTCTGATGGGGAGCGTTGTGGGCAGGCGGGGGGGAGTTGGGTGGGCTGGGGCAGAAAGGAGCGGAGCTGCAGGGCCTGGTGCTGCGAGCTGTGGCAGCAGCAAGAAGGGCTTTACCGGCTCTGTGTGCTTCCTGCTCAGCTCTTCCTGCTCCTCTTCCAGGGAACAAAATTCCCGGCTCCGCTGTGCTCATCTTTGATGTCCACATCATCGACTTCCACAACCCGGCCGACCCGGTGGAGATTGAGGCCGTGCACCGACCCGAGGGCTGCAACGTCACCGCCCGCAACAGGGACTTCATCCGCTACCACTACAACTGCTCCCTGCTGGACGGCACGCGGCTCTTCTCCTCGTGCGTGGGCTGGCGGCGCTGGGCTGGAGGGCGCGGGGTCTGTGGGCTCTGTGGGCTCTGCAGGGCCGAGGTGTGGGCTGCAGCCTGATGGGACCGTGGAGTTTTCTCAGTCGCGCCGTTCTCTTTGCGCCCCTGCAGCCACGACTACGAGAAGCCCCAGGAGGTGACGCTGGGGGCCAACAAGGTGATTGAGGGTCTCAACAGCGGCCTCCTGGGCATGTGTGTGGGGGAGAGGCGGGTGCTCATCGTCCCCCCACACCTGGGTCATGGCGAGAATGGAGGTAGGGATGGCACAGCGGTGCCTACAGCATGTGCTGAGGGCTTTCTGGAACCCCGTGGGGCTCCCGCACCTTGCTGGAGAAGCTCTCACCTCCGCTCAGAGCCTTTCTGAGCTCCCCAGCAGCCCTCACTTGCTTTTCAGCCCGGGGAGTGCCTGGCAGCGCAGTGCTCCGCTTCGAGGTGGAGCTGATCTCCCTGGAGGAGGGGGTTCCCGAAGGATACCTCTTCATTTGGCACGGGGACCCTCCTGAGAACCTCTTTGAGCAGATGGACCTCAACAAGGATGGGCAGATCCCCGCTGAGGAGGTGCCCGCAGCACGGGTTTATGGGTGGGGGGGGACACGGAGAGCACAGGGACCCACCCAGGGAGCAGCACCCGAAGGACACTGCTGGCCCCGGGCGCTGGGAAAGGGCTGAGGTCGGGCGGGAGGAATGCTCTGACGCAGAAATCACGGCTGGGAACAACGGGGCTGCAATGGGGACATCGTGGATGGCCCCGGGTCTGCCCTCACTGTGCGCGCAGCGCAGCGCTGTGTCCCACCCACCCCATCCTCTGTCCCCGCTGCAGTTCTCCACCTTCATCAAGACCCAGGTGGCGGAGGGGAAGGGACGCCTCATGCCCGGCTCCGACCCCGAGAAAGTCATCGCCGACATGTTTGGGAACCAGGACCGCAACCAGGACGGGCGCATCACGGCCGAGGAGCTGAAGCTGAAGTCGGATGAGGACCGAGAGAAGGTCCACGAGGAGCTGTGAGACGCAGCACCGCCGTGCCCACGCCTGGCGCTGCCCCTCGCCGGCCCGGGAGCCGTTTTCTGATGATTTTTTCCCCCCTTTTATTTAACTGCGGTTTTTTTCTGTCGTTCCTTACGGGCGCAGCTCCGCAGTCCGCAGTCAATGCGCGCAGGCAGGAAGGTGGGAAGCGGCTCCGGGTGCCCGCAGTGGGTCGGGCCGGTGCATTCCCCCCCCCTCCGTACTGCACCCATCGATCCCAGCAAATCCAGCAGGGCCCGCTCCCCTCCCCTCCCCCCCCCTCCCCCCCCCAGGGTCCTCCCTGCCCTCCCACCTCTCCGTGTGCCGAGCTCAGCCCCGAGCCCAACTCCCACATCTCTGCTCCTTCGTCCTCAGCCAACGACTGCACGGCCTGCCGGGCCCCACGCAGGGACAGGGGAGCTCCCCGCTCCTCCTTTGCAGTATTACTGTAGTTTAGGGATTTTTTGTTCATCGTGGGTTAGTTTTAAACACGCGCATGTAAAGTCCTTTAAAGGAGAAACGGAGCGGCCATCCCTGCTGCTGCCTGCTGCAGTTCCCAGGAGCAGAGGTTGGAGGTGGCTCAGAGCCCCTCGGCTGCTGCAGAGCTGCACGGCTGGGACCAGAGCTGGCGCCGGGAGCAGCAGGCCGACCCTCCTCATCCTCCTCACAGCAACAGCTGCCAGGGGGTGCCAGAAATCAGCCCTGGTTGGTTCCGATGCCAAAATGCAAGCCATTAACTCGGTGCTCTCAGGTTTGTGCCCAGCACATCCCCTCCACCTTCCCAGCAGCTCTGGAAGCTTTTGCACAGTGTGACCTCGCAAAGAGAAAAAACGCATGAGCAGAACTGTGCAAAGGGCCAGAGCAAGCCCCTCAAACAATGACTTCTAAGTGGCACCAAATAAACAATTCCAAGTGGTTTCCAAGACATTTCCCTTTGTGTCAGTTACTTTGCAATGGAAGATTCATTCCTGTCTGTCCCCATGGCGTGAAGAGAACTCACCTGGGTCTGTGGAGCAGAGGTGGACTTCAGACAATGGCATCTGCTGCGTTGGGCAGGAGAAAAAGGAAAAGAGCTCCGCTCCCAGGAGCCCTGCAGAGGGGTGGGGGCAGGGATGGGGCACAAGGGATCAGGGATGGGGAGGACACTTTGCCTGGGGCACTGCGCTCTCAGTGCAATGCACACACACTGCAGCTTTCGTCAATGATTTTATTGCAAAGAAGCAGAGATCTGCACTGCTCAGAAGTGACATTTAGCAGCCCATGGTGTGGAGGGCGGTGAGTGAGCTGCAGGGTGAGGGCTGAGGTCAGAGCCCATGGGAACCCAGCAGAGCTGCCCACCATCCCCAGCGCCCACCTCCCGGGGCTGCAGGACCACCCCACCCTGCTCCCTCCCCACAGCTGGGGCTCAGCCTGCACACCTTGGGGCCACAGAAAACACGATAGGAGCAGCAGTGCTCATTTCCTTAGACAGGAATGCAGTAAAACCAAACAGCTTCAACTCAAACCAGCCTGCCCTCAAGCCACAGCCAACAGTCCCTGCTTCTGTGCTCAGCTGCGGGACAGAAGCACAGAACGTCCCTCCCCAGAACACAAATGTTTGCTGTGGCCCCGGTGCTGCTGGAGGCTGAGGAGGATGCAGAGTGCAGGGCAGGCTCCTCACTTCATCCCGATCAGCCCTTCAGCTCCAAACTGACCAGAAGAGCTGTGAGGTTTGGGACACAACAGCTGGGGCAGGGGGAGCCCCGGCATGGGGGTGGATTCAGGCAGGTACCGGGATGCCCGTCCAGCTTTGCTAAGGGCGCTCATCCCCAGCATGCGGCTGACGGGCCGGGGTTGGGGCGCTGCTGCCTGGCTCACGTCTCCATGAGGACGTACCGCAGAATCCCATTCACCACATCCAACGTCTCGTCGCTCTCCAGCACGATGTCATAGGCATCCAGGTATTTCCCCCGCCGCTCCTCCACCTGCAGCAAGGAGAGGAGCACAGAGAACTGTGAACAGCTGAGAATGAAGGCGCTGTACCCACAGCCCTGCATCTCTTGATGCTACGGAAAAGAGGGGACAAAACCAGCCAACCGTGCCCAAAGGCGGCTCCGAGGGCCTTTATGCAAACCTAGAGCCCAGCAGCGGGCACTCAGCCCTGGGAAGGGCTGGAAGGCAGCAGGAATGCTGCTCCCCACACACCTTGTCGTTGAGGAAGCCAATCTTGAGGATGTTCTCCACACTGGGAACGCCATCTGCCATTGTCAGGTCGCCCATGGAGTCCCCCAGAAGGATGATGCTCGTCCGTGTGCTCAGCTGCTGGAAGTAGGGAGTGCCCTGCAGCACGCTGTTGTTCTTGTTGTAGGTGTGGATTAGAGGGCTCTTGAAGCACTTGAGGACTCCCTGTGCAAATGGGACAGGTGAACTGATCCTAAAGCAATCCCTACATTGTCCTGCAGCCTCAGCACCCCTCAGAAGGGGGGAGAGGTGAGGGGCAACACGACAACAGCTCTCATCACTGTAGCACCGCCCAGGAGCCCCAAAATGCATGCAGGCCGTCCCCAAAGGTCTGCTTTTGTCAGGGCAAACCCAGACCGTAGGGTGAGAACAACCCCAAAGCATCTGGGAGATTTCTGCTCAAAGGCCACAGAAAGCCAAAGTCCAAGGAGCCCTAGGGCACCGTGCAGCCCTCGCAGGAGTCAGGAGTCAAGCTCTGAGGACTGTCTGCCCCAGCACCCCCCTGTGGGAATGGAGAGCATCACTGTGCACAGCATGCCATGTGCTAATGAGAACTGGGACCTTTTAGGCATCTGTTAACTCCACGCCGACCACATGCCTGGGCTGGGCATGGACCAGCACCAAACCTTGACAGACAGAACCCACTTCTGGCTTCCAAAAGTCAGTCTGAAGGGTGAGGTGCTCACAGGACAGAGAGCAGACACTGGGCTGCTGCTGCTTTCTGCCCGCAGGATCCTCCCAGGGCCAACACTGCGCACTCCCCAAACCCCAGCACTGATGTACTGCAATGGTTCTGCAGCCCACAGCACCAACACAACCACCCTCCCCCCATGGGCTCCCTGCACACTCACACTGTCATCGAAGTCCATGTAGTTGGACACCACGTTGACATTGGGGTAGAAGACGTTGGCCTGACGGATAATCTCCTCGAGGATGTCACCAACGCCAGCAGAGAAGATGAACATGGGGACGTTGTACTTATGCAGCTGATCAAACAACTCATTGAATCCATCCCTAGGACAGAAGTTGTCGTGCAGTGTCATGTTTCCCTCTCCCAGCTCTGGCAGTGTGGGCTGCAACTGCTCTCAGTGACAAAGCTCAAGTTTCTGCCTGGGACTTCCCAAGCAGAAATAACAGCAGTTACTCAAAGCACAGCACCTGGCTGCAGCTTTCACAGCAGCTTTTGGTGCCATATTTTAGTGCCTGCACCCCTCATCCTGCCAACCACAAAGGCTCAGAGTTGCTTGGGGACCCTCTCCCCACCAGGACCAGGGGTGGGCACGGCTCCAGAGCAGGAGGAGCTCTCCGGTGGTTAAACCCAAACCCCAGGAAGGAAGAGAGATTTGTATCTGCTGCACTGTGAGGCTGTGTGCAGATCAGAGAAGGTGAGCAGAGCTAGCAGACACCAGCTCAGCACCCCCTGCCTGCCTTCAGGCCCCGGAGACATGGGCAGCAATGGGGTGATAGGAGAGGAAGGCCTTGGGTGTACCTCAGCATCACATCCGACTCCCTGACAATCTGGGCAATGTCTCCCTTTTGGATCTTCTGCTGCGACAGCAGCTCGTGGGCCCGGGTCCACCTAGAGAAAGGCAGCGAGGTGAGAATCACATTCCAGGCCATCAGAAGAACAGCAGCCAGGCACTTCCTACAGGAGCTGAAGCCTTCACATTGCCATCCCAGCTGCCAGGAGGAGGCCAGGGGGGCTGATGTGATCTGTGCCCATGTGATCTGTGGTTTTTGCTTTTGGTTTGCAGTGACTCAGAACTATTCCTCAGCTGTGCTCACCAGCCACGGTCCAAAGCACCACACTGAGTGTCTGGGCCACGCACGTGAGAAATGGGAACAGCCTGCGTTAAAAGGGACCCTACAAAGGGTTCTCCACGCTTGGGCCGGGCCCAGGGGCGCTTCCTCCCATTCCCTCTAATGCTCACCAGGGGTCAGGGCGCACCAGCACAGCACTCACCACTCCACCATCAGGGGACGTTTCTCTTCCAGGCTGCGGTTGGGATCGATTTCGATGGGGTAGTAGTGATGCAGCAGATCTTTTAACTGGAATGTTGTAAGTAAGAAAGAAGAATTCGGATTGAACATTGAGCCTACAGAGACTGTAAACAGCAAAATCAGTATTTCTGAACTCCCCCAAAGCATCACAGTCCATAACAAAAACACGACCAAAACAACCAAGTGACTTCACTCTGAGCCAACGTGGGGATCCCTGGGGCCGTCTCTGATAGCTCCACTGAGGCTCATCTCAGCAAAAACGCTCCCAGCAGATGGGCACACAAACCTCCTTCCTGCTCTTATCAGAGCACAAATTGCCTGCAGCTACGCACGCAAATTAGTTTCCTCTTTTTAACTTTCCCACTGGCTGAAATGCAGCCTGGGACCTCGCTCTGCTCTCTGCCCCCGCAGCACCGCAGGGCTTTTGCCCTCTGACCTCGTTGCACAGCCCATGGCGACGGCTGGCAGCAATGGAGAGCTTCACAAAGCAGCACCCACCTTCTTCTTGCCATCCTCACTGATGACATGGCTGTTGTCGAGGATATCTGCAAAGACAACAAAATGCCAATGTTACAGCCCATACAGAAAGGCTGTGAGCTTCAGGGTGCTGGATTGAGGCAGACAAGGAGCATCTGAGAGTCTTGGTGGCAAAGCTGGAGCACAGACACCAGGGGTTGCCTCCTGCCACGGGCTCTGGGCTGCTGGGAGGAGAGGGCTGCACCAGAGAACAGACACGGAAAGCAGGAGGAAGGGCCACAAAGCAAAAGCAGGGCTGAAACTCACTGTGTGACGTTGGGCAGCGCCGGCCATTGCACCCAAACCTGCTCAGCGTCATGTCGAAGTCAGAGATGACCTGAAGGGTGAGAGAAAGATGACCTGTGGTGACCCAGCGCTCTGCTGGGCGCAAGCTCCACATGGGTGCATCCCACACAGTCTGCAGGGCTGCAGTGAGCAGCCGGCAGGCAGGCACCCAACGCACCCAGCTGGGACCGGGCACCTTCCACCCCCACCCCAGCAGCCTTATCAGCACCACAGGGCCCATCCCTGCC